ACTTAATGGAACAATTGGTGTTTATTTCACTTTTTCAGAGAGACACATGAAATCCATTTCAAATCTACGTTACGTTCTCTGAATCATCTCAGTGAGTCTTTAGTATGGATTTTAATACTGTATTATTTTCTGGAATCTAACCAGTATTTTTCTCTACCCAGAAATGAAAGTATCTGAAGGAATTCCAGAAAACACTTGATAGGACTTTACACAAGAAAAACTTTTTAAATCCACACAGAGAATCTTGATGTTCTTTAAGTTTTTTTTAAAGCTCAGCTAATGTAAATTATACAATGAATCTACTAAACAAAATGTCTATCACAGAAACAGGTTGAAGCTCAAGCTAAGTGTACCTAAAAAGTCTTAGACTTATGGTCAGCATAAATCCACTGTTGCAATTATAAAAGTTCAGATCAAGCGCAGAATTTTTAAAAGTGAGTCACTTAGGGTATGCCTACACCGGGATAAAAAACCAGCAGCTGGCTCAGGTCTGCTGATTCTGGCTAATGGAGATCAGGCTCTGAGGCTGAAAAAAAATTCACTGGGTAGATGCTTGGGCTGGAGCGTTAGCTCTGGGACCGGGTGAGACTCCAGTCCAGGCCAAAATGTCTACATAGAGATTTTTTTACTCCACAACCTGAGCCCCATGAGTTGCAGCCATGACATGGGACTTTTATCCCTGTTTATACATACCTCTAGTGGTCTAAAGTCCCATTAATTCTCACTGACACTTACGTGCATAAGTCCATTAGGCTTTGCAATGCTGAGTGGAACCATCTCTAAGCACCTTTAAAAATCTGGGCCATAGGTGCTTCTAGACAATTTTATCCCTGCTCTGAAAAGTGGCTTTCATAGTGGGCTTCATGCCTTCATGACGGAAAGTCAAGCATGATGCATACCAGAGAGACGGGAACAACTACATTACTTGGTTCTCATTTTTGTTTCAAAAAGTTAACATACTTTATTTGAGCAGTTAACCAATGACAGATGAGGTTAAGGAAAATCATTTTAAGCTCTCAGGACACAAAGCAAAATCCTTAACTGCTTTTTGTGTCATAGCAAACTACATGAGAAAGCATGACATTTCATCAAGGGCTAAGAGTGAGAGAGATTAAGCAAAGGGAGAACTGTGTCTAGTTCCCCAAAATGGAGAAAATAAGAGATACTTTATAAGCAATTCTTTTAAAACCTTATCTTGCATTTAGCTGAGTACAGCAAAGACAGCTCATGGACACAAAAATGTGGTTTGCAACAGAGAAGCAGCCTCGGAGAAATACACGAAGTAATCTTTGTGTGGATAAACTGTAAGAAAAATATCTGCTGAGCTACAAAAACTAGATGTCTGGCTATACAGAAAAGTGTGGGAGAGAGCACAACTGACTGATGATAATACAATGATAATATCCTGAAAGAAGAATGAGAGATTGACAGGAACCTCATATTTTTAACCTTTAATTAAAAAAAAAAGCAAAGAATAACTGACTGCTTCCTCAAAGGCCTGATTCACGCTGGAGGACATTAGTTTCTAGCACTGAACTATAATTTCACTCTCCAGAATCAGGATCACTTCTGCACGCAATTTTAAAAAACTGAAACATGCACTGTAGGTAGGGAGTGACCCAGAAGCACAGGGATTTTGATAATCTACTGTGGTGGTTCTCAACCTTTTTCATTTGCATCCCTAAAAAATTCAAACATAGGTGCAGACCCTTTTGGAAATCCAAGATACAGCCTATGGTGTGATGGGTCAGGAGCTGGGACCCCCTTCAGCCTGTCACCTCAGACCCCGCTGAGCCTGCTTTTCCTGACAGCCTAGGCATCCTGTAACCCTATATTTCTGATCCCAGCTCTCCAGTCTGCTTCACCACAGGGACAGGGCAATCCCCCAAAGATGTGGGGACACACGGTAAGCACCATAGTGTAAGCCCATTTCACAGCATTCATGTACACAGCTCCTCTGAGAGCTGAACCCTCAATAAACCCATCTTATGCTGTACAGAGAGCTGTACAATATAAGCTCATTAAATTTGCCCTATGTAAAGAGATGCACAGATTCCTTAGCGCCCCCTCCCCCCCCGTAACCAGGGCAGGCCCGAGCCATTTTGGTGCCCCGGGCCCCAGGCTTGTGGCACTGCCTCTGGGCGCACGACGCATGGGCGGACGCAAGGCGCATGCACTGCCCAGTCGGCCCGGCCACTGCCGATGGCGCGCAGCCTGGGGCCGCCTAGGGCGGGCTGCGCCTGGCCGTGCAGGGTCCTGAAGCTGCGGGGGAAAGGGCACTGCTGGCTGGTGCTGCAGAGGTTAACACATACCCCACCCCGGGCGGCCGCTGCAGCCCGCCGGTCGCTGGTCGCCGGTCGCCCCCCGTAGGTTGGTACCCTCGGCAGTCGCCCGGCTAGCCCACCCCTTAGTTCGGCCCTGTCCGTAACAATTATTTACACTGTGTTTATTAATAAGCAAAAGTGATTTATTAAGTATAACAGATAGGATTTAAGTTGTCATAAGAGATAGAACACTGAACAAAGTAGGTTACTAAGGAAAACAAAACAGAATGATATGTTACAAGAGGCATCTTGCATAACGCATATCTCAGTTATGACATTCATATTAGGGATATAAAATCCCATTTCATTGGCTGACTGGATAAATATTAAAGTTTAACCAGCTAACCAGTTAAACAGGGGGAGAGGGGCTGAAGCGGCCCCTCGCCGCAGACAAGGGCTGCTCTGGCCAGGCTAGAATGCCCATGCCCAAGGTGGGCCCCGCAGGACTGGAGCAATCTTGCCCACAGCCCCTACCACTTAACCGTAATCGTTAAGCCTCACCCATTAAGGTTAACCATTAACATCCCTAATCCATATCGCAAGCATATTTGCATAAAGCATATGTAATACTCCATAACATGCAGACCCCCATGGGTTGAAAACCACAAATCTACTTAAACACATTGCTGTAATAAAAAATAATCCTTTACATTTAAAAAGGGCTTGATCCTCTGTTCAGTGAAATCAATGGCACAGCTCCTATTCACTTTAATAATTCAGGATCAAGGCCATAATTAATTTTATCTGTAGATAACAAAGCACTGTACAGATTATGGATGTAAGTGAATAATTGAGTCACTGTATCAGAGGCAGCGGGCAGAGGGAGTGGAGGGGGAGGGAGAGAGAAAGCAGGACCGGAGCTGGGAGGAGCAGGCCTAAAAGTCAGTTCCCCCCAGCACCGTCTCCATGGGGATGGGAGTGGGGAGGACTTGGCATGAGCCAAGACTGAGCAGGCTCCAGGCCGCTAGGCTCTTACTACATTTAAAAAACAGAGCCGCTGCTCAGTCCCAGCTCGTGCCGTCCCCAAGAGCTAACCCCCTTATCAACTAATCAAATAGTCGATGACTTCTCGATTAGCTTGCTAATCACTACTTAACATCCCTAGTACAGATGGGGATGCTATGGCACAGAGTTGTGGCATGACTTGCCTAAATTCGCACATCAAGTTAGAAGTAGACGCATGAACAGAACCAAGGTCTCCTAGTCCTGGGCCAAATCCCCTGGACTATACAGCTTCCTAAACCTCTTACAAGAAACACATTCCCTTCCCAATAAACGCGGTCATTCTCTCTCCTTTCATTATGGACCTAATGCTATCAGAACTCTACTAACTGGGTGTAAGACTGAGGCAAGTGCTCATGCATCATTTCAAAAAATACCAAAAACCTCCAAATTAGTGCAACAATGTAAGTACAATGACTACGTGGTTGTTCACAGTAACTCTGCTTGGCTATCTTTAGAAGGCAGTGTGGCCAAGTAGTTAAAGCACCTGCCAGACTCAGGAAATCTGAGTTCAATTTCCACTTGGGCCCTGATCTGCTGAGTGGCCTAAAGCAAGTCATTTCACCACTATGTGCCTCAGTTTCTCCACTTGTAAAGTGGGGATAATGCTACTGAGCTCCTTTGTACTGCACTTTGAGATCAACAAATGAAAAGTGTTCTGTAGAAGCAAGGTACTATTACTACTACATAAAATTACTTCCATGAAAGAGCTGCAAGACATACAAATGGGAAACATTCCATTCCAAGTCTGTTCTTATTTTTTTTTAAATAAAAGTATCTGTTCATAGACTCCAAGACCAGAAAGGACCATTTTGATGATCTGTCCTTCTGTAAAATACAAGCCACAGAACTTCCCCAAAATACATCCTAGAACAGATATTTTTAGAAAAACATCCAATCTTAAAAATAGTCAGTGATGAAAAGCCCACTACAACCTTTGGTAAAGAGTTCCAATGATTAATTACCTTATTCAAAATGTGTGTCTTATTTCCAGTCTTCTGATGAACTATCTACTATATTTTTCAGAGAGTTTATCTGTCTGTTTGATCAAGAATTCCTCCTAAATGGTAAGACTAGGATCACCAAATTCAGTATGTAGCTTCCTCTTATCATAGCGTAAAGCAGGGCTATTCAACTTTGGAAGCACTGGGGGCCCACAAGGATACTCACAGCACACACGGAAGGCTGCAACTTAAGTGTGGTTGCATATACATGCAAATATATGCAAATAACTTCTTTCACACTGACGGGCATGAATACAAAGATTAAAGCAAGACTATACAACACACATGCCCCATTTAAGTCAGCTCTGCTGGTTTTAATATTTACCCAATTTCCATCCATTTAAGAGTACTTTTAATGAGCTATGACAGTGCAGGAGTTTAACTACTAAAACACATATCAACAGAAGACCATTATATTGACTACTTTTTTGTTTTGGCTCCCAACCCCGGGCCGTGTGTTGAGCCTCATGCAAATTCAAAACACACTGTGGGTTGCAAACAAACAAAGCCCACGGGCTGTGAGTTGAGTAGTCCTGCCCTAAAGCAAAGCTAAGAGGAGGAGGGATAGCTCAGTGGTTTGAGCATCAGCCTGCTAACCCCAGGGTTATGAGCTCAATCCTTGAAGAAGCCATTTGGGGCAAAAATTTG